ACCCAGAATGTTTGGAATGTGGTCAGTCCAAAGTTCACAGTGGGCTACTGCAAGTAACCCAGCCACATTCTTTCAACAAAATGGCTGTCTTCTAAAACTATATTCTACAATTTATACCTTCAATAAATCCTAAGATCATGACCCAGAAGCCTGTGACCAATACTAAGGCTCTTAGATGTGACATGAGTTTGAATTACAAGTTGTGTGAAAGCCAAAACTGCAGTTTGTGGAAGGATGGGAACAATGAGCTTCTAAAGTTAACTTGTGTTCGTCCCGATCTCAGAGTTTCTATGTTTTGAGCTCACAGGAGCTTAATCTGGTTAGTGCTGAGTAGAAAGGGGGAGGAAATGGGGTCAAATAGCTCCTGAATGCATCCTAGTGGTCTCAGGGTCAACGGCCCTTCCTGATCCCTAACGATCAGTGGGTCTCCGTGGCCAGCTCCCAACAGTCCCCAAGAGTGACATGTAGATGTTTCTACAGAACAGAGCTCAAGAGTTGGGCAAAAGTCTTGAGGCTTTTGCATAGACGCTTTGTGTTCCTATGACTCTACAGGGCTTGTAAACATGTTCATATATTTCTTGGGTAAAACTAAACTTGACACTTAAATGTGCGTATTATTTTCCCAGTGTTAAAACCGCCATGGGGCCACTGGTATGAAAAACACAGAGGCCTGTTAAGTAGCCTGTTAATTAGGTGAATGCCTATTAATTGACAAAAGTACACAGTCCAGAAACAGACACCTGGGTCTAAGAACTTAGAATGGAATCAGAGAATCCCCAATGTACAGTCAGGTATGATTCAATAAGCAATACTGGGAGCACTCATTTGAAAGAGTTTTTAATTTCTTGCGTACTAAAAGAAAATTTCAGAATAGGAGGCAAGTGTGGACCTAGTGAAATGAGTGCTCCACCAAGAAATGTGTCTGTCATCAACATGAAGTTGTGTACAGACCTGTTTCTTCTTCTAGGGCCTCTGGTTCTTCTTGGTTTGGCTCTTGAGGTCCCTGTGTCTGCCCACTCCCTGAAATAAACAGTGACAGGTAATAAGATATTGAAATGCCCCAAACTGAAAATGGGCAGGCAATGATGGGAGACCATGTAGGACCCACTCCTTCTGTGACAAACTTGGATCAAAGAGACTGGAGGAATCAGGCCCTCAACCCAACTGAAGACACAATATTGCGTCTGGGCACAGTGGTTCATGTCTGTCATTCCAGCACTTTGGGAGGCTGAGGCGGGAGGATGGCCTGAGCCCAGGAGTTCAAGACCAGTCTGGACAACATGGCGGGACCTCGTGTCTACAAAAAATCAAAAAATTAACCAGGCATGTTGGCATGCACCTGTTGTAGTTTCAACTACTCAGGAGAATGAGGCAGAAGGATTGCCTGAGCCCAGGAGATCAAGGCTGTAGAGAGGCATAATCATGCCACTACACTCCAGTCTGGAGGGGGGAAAAAAAAGTGCATAAAAACTAAAAGTTTGGGCCAGGTATGGTAGCTCACTCCTGTAAGTCCAGCACTTTGGAAGGCCGAGGCGAGAGGATTACCTGAGCCCAGGGGTTTGAGACCAGTCTAGACAAATTTGCAAGACCTCATCTCTACAGTAAGTCAAAAAATGATCTGGGCATGGTGGCATGCGCCTGTAGTTCCAACTACTTGGGCGGCTGAGGCAGGAGGATCGCCTAAGCCCAGCAGGTCAAGGCTGTGGTAGCCATGATCATGCCACTGCACTCCAGCTGGGCGACAGAGTGATACCCCAACTCAAAAAAAGGATGCAGTATGCACCTTGGAAAGACCACAACACACATTATGCATGTTCCTGCCTCAGGGCCTGGGCTGTAGCCAGCCCTGTCTGGAATCCCAGATATTGCGTAGCTCACCTTCAAGGCTCTGTTCAAATCTCACCTCCTCCAGGTTGCCTGACCGTCCTTATGAATGCTGCCAGCCATTTCCTTGATTGCACGCCCTGGGCGCTCCCCGTCTGCCTCTCCCTCTCCCTTTTCCAGTGCACTCGCCACCTTCCAGCACTCCCTAAGATTGGCTTGATCACGTCCATCCCCTGTCTAGCTGGATGGCTGTCTGTCCACAGATTCAGCCCACGAGCATGGAACAGTGCCTGCCACGCAGAAGACACTCGAATCCCTTTGCCATTGGCCATCCTAGGAACGCAGACACTAAGAGCTGGGTTATAGCCTCAGCCCCACATCACCACTCCAAATGAACTACTCCTCAAGAGCCACGAGACCCCTTCTGGGACTCCCAAGGTGGTCAAACTCCCATTCCACTGTCTCGTCCTGAGCTTCTGTGAGCCCGAACCTCACAAGAGATTTGAATCTCAAGAAATATGGCTTTCATGTTTACACTCCACCGATCGTCACTGTTTACAGGGCTTGATCTCAGTAGCAAGCCACATCCTGGGCTTCCTTCTGATGCTCCATGTTCCTCTGAAGAAGCATTATGGTCTGAGTGAACATTCAGCTGCTATCTCTTGAAGTCAATACATTGAGAGGCAGGCTACTGGCACAAAGAAGTTTATATCTGAATTTGAATCCACGGAGCAGAACATGGCTCCTGGCTTTCCTGGAACCCGTCTGCTCACCCCTTAGGGTTTTTTTGGTCTTGTTTTTTTTGAGTTGGAGTCTCACTCCGTTGCCCAGGCTGGAGTGCAAGGGCACACTCATGGCCACCCCAGCATCGACCCACTGAGCTCTGGTGATCCTTCCACCTCAGCCTTCAAAGTAGGTGGCTATGTCTGACTAATTTATTGATTTATTGTAGAGATGAGGTCTCACCAAGCTGCCCAGGCTGTTCTCAAACCCATGGGCTCAGGCAATCTTCTCGCCTTGGCCTCCCAAAGTACTGGGATTACAGGTTCAAGCCACCACGCCCGGCAGCTACCCCTTAGGTTTTACAGTTGGTTTTTATAAGTCTAGGGGTGCTGGTACCTATACACTGACTACGGGACTAACAGGATTGTGTGGAGCTCAAGTTACAGCCGCATGTTGTCAACAGTAACAATTATGGTCTGCATTTCCTGGTGCCAGTTACCAAAAGGCAGCCCACAGTGTCCTCATCAACAGCAGACTGAAGAGTTGATCAAGCTTGCCAAAGAGTAAGGGAGTTAACAGAGGCTACTACCAAGTAAACCTTTTTTCACTGCAACATATTGTTGATTGGTAGCTATAACGCACAAAAAAAAAATCTATGAATGACAAGGCTTGTGGTTACATGGGTGCTATGTTTTCAAATCTGTGATCACCAACCAAAGGGAGTGAATAGGGATTCATTTTTCTCCATTGAAAGAGTGCTGTCTGCAGGGGCTTAAGGTTCTTTGAAGTGACTTAGGAAATAGGAGACAAGGGAATATGCTTTCTTTTGTTAATTCTCAAGAACGTAGGTGTATGCAGGCCAGCTCAATGAACGAACATCATGCCTTTCTTTAAAGGTTGCGGCATATGGACAGACCATAGTGGGTTTCCATATCAAAAGCACCTCTTACTGATTGATTGATTGATTGTTGGGGTCTCACTCTGTCACCAAGACTGGAGTGCAGTAGTACCCTCGCAGCTCACTGCAACCTCAACCTCTTGGGCTCAGGAGATCCTTCTACCTCAGCCTCCTAAGTAGCTAGGACTACAGGTGTGCACCACCACACCCAGTTTTGTGGACTTTTTTTTTTTTGGTAGAGACAAGGTCTCACTATGTTACCCAGGCTAGTCTTGAACTCCTGGGCTCAGGCAAACCTCCCACCTAAGCCTCCCAAAGTGCTGGGATTACAGGTGTGAGACACCATGAACAACCTCTTGGAAAAGAATCCATCTTTCCTATGACCTATGGTTGCCAGGGCCAAAAAAATCCCAATTCTGTGAAGACCCAAAGACTCTCCCTGTAGAGTCCATGAGCCCCATGTCCACATACTTTGAGCTGAATTCTGTCCCAGGTTAGATGAACCCTCCTAGAAGCAGGGAACCCGAGTGGGAACCCTTTCCTGGGCACACCCCAAGCAGAGTAGAAATAGAGGATTCTCACCACTGGCTTCATTTATGCATCAGACCACTATCCGACATGTTACACTCCTCTGTTGCAAATAAACCCAATGATGTGACTTTTCCAGGGTACAGCCTTCCTGTCAAGTATCAGATATCATCATCTAGATCTTCATATGGGGGGGAACCCCCCAAAGTAAAATTTACTTATTAAAAAATGGTGTGTATATTCTTACATGTTTAAACTAGTCCCCTTCAAAGTCCTCTTTATTTGAGGCAATACGCCTGTCGAGATGCTTTTTCCACTGCTGAAAGCAGGTTTTGAGCTCCACATTGCCAAAACGCTTCCTTGGGGGACTTTCTAACTCGCGGAAACAGCAAAAGTCCCCCGGGGGGAGACCGGTTGGATGGGGAGGGCGGAGCACGGGGGTGGTGCCATTGGGGTCAGAAGCTGCGCAACATGCAGCTCGGTGGGGGCAGCTGCGCTGGTACGTCACTAGTCATGAAATGGGCAAACTCTCTGAAAGCATCTCAAAACAAATTCCGTGAAGCCACATGCAGCCTCTCACCACAACACCAGCTGGTCCACTGATGTCAGTGGGTTCCTAGAATGCGAACCTAGCAGGGGAAGCCGAGACAACTCGGCCTCCAAGGATAAGTCTGGGTTCGGGGGTCCTCCTTGTCCAAGAAATTCAGGACTCTGGGTCTAGCTGGGACCACCTGTCAAAAGAGCCAGGTTGTTCCAACGGGCACCCTCGCAAGGCGGCCCCGTGGCTCTAACGAGAAAAGGAAGCACGATACGCGTTCGAGTCCGCTTACGAGTGAGAACACATGGCCCTCCGTTCCTTGTTTCTCAATCAGCGTAGTAGGAAACGGTCAGGGGCTGGGAGTGGCAGTTGAGGGAAACTCCGGGGGAGGGAGGGGCACACCTCATCAACAGTCAACGTTTGTATACCGAACCCTGAATTGCATCCCACATCGCTATACTAAAAGTACTGATACTAATAATAGCCTCCAGGAGGAGACCGGCAAGATGGCGATGGGGCGGCCCAGCGTCTGAAGCCCTCGCAAGGGAGATCTGCAGTGGGTCTCTGACTCTCGCCCTGGGGGGCTGAGGCCCCCAGCAGTGCAGCCCGCTCCTTAGACGGAGCCGGCCGTTGCCATCGCAGCGACTGGACAGTTCTCCCGCCTGCAAACAGCCGGCGCCACCGCAGCCCCTCCCCCCACGGCCGCTGCTGCTGCAGGCGCCGTGCCCGCTGCCGCCGCGGCCTCTGGGAGGGGTAGGCCACTACACCACCCGGCCGAGGAGATCCACAACAAACCGCTTCAGGGAAGATCTGCGGGCATCGCTGCCACCGCTCCTGCGTCCAGACGGTCCGGCCGCCGGCGCGGGGCTCCTGTCGCCTGCTCGGAGGCGGGCAGCCATCTTGTTCCGGTCCGGCCCCACCCCCGGGGCGAGCAGCTGAGACAGCACCACCTGCTGGCGATTCAAGGTAACAACACCGAAACGGGAGAGGACAGCTTGATAAAGACATCGACCAGAGTGCTGAACGAGGGTAATCTGAACTGTCCTTCACAGCAGACCAGGGGCAACTGGCCCTAACTGCAAACTAATTTACCAGCTCGAAAAGAAAACGAGAAATCAGACCTGAAAGGACATTGGACTTAACGAAAGGTCTCAGAGTGTGCTTCATTGATTCTCTTAGTTTAATGACTTAATTCTATTCCTACTGCATTGTTCCCTTTTTCATTTTTTCCTTTTCCTTTTCGTCTCTTCTCTTCTCTCTGTAAACCGTATCTTTGTATAGAGGAACAGCACACTAACAAGGTGGTTGGTTAGCTTGCATGTTAGCATCACTATATGTTTTATTTTTATTTTTTATTTTTTTGTATGAGAGTTGGTTCGTATGTAGCTGTGGTCTATTGTTTTTACCTGTTTCAGTATAGGCCTCTCTATTTGTTAGCACACTCGTTTGTTTCCCCCTTGACTCCTCTATCTCTCCACTCCCCTCTTAAACCCACTATCTGCTCCATTCTCTCCCCTCTGCTAACCACATTTTATTTCAGGGAGTAAACCTACAGTCCCACTGCATGGACAGATTCCAGGGCAGTGGGAAGTGGGTACCACATTATCCACATGCCTGTCAGCGAATACCAGGACCTGCAGACAGATTTTGAATCACAGCTCTCCCCTTAAGTACAGATTAAAACTGCAAAAAGGACCACCTCCAACCTACAGTGCAACTTCAGAATGGAACGAAGAGGACATACATAAAGAATAGGAGATTGAGCAAACAGAAGTAAAACCAATCCCTTTACCCCTGAATAACAGAACTAAAGAAGACGGTGACATGGAGGGAAGGAAAAAGTAGGGAGGGGGAAAAACCACACAAATGAAGAAAAACCAAAAGAAGAATATAGGTCTCACACAGATCCCTGGGAGATCAGACACTGAGAAAACAGATTCTGGAACACAAACAATGAAGAGCCCCCAGAATGACTGGTTTCATGCAACAAACCCAGACATCAAGACATTAATGGAGAGAATTTTAAAAATTGAGGAGAGACAAGAGGAAAATGGGAAGAAGCTGATGTCAGAAATGACAGCAGTAAAGAATACTGTGATGGAAATGAATAACAGACTAATAAGCATGGAAAGCAGAATCAGCCAAGCAGAAGAAAGAATCTCAGAGCTCGAAGACCAAAACACAGAACTAACCCAAACTGTCAAAAGCATAGAAAAGAAGCTCAAAAAGACAGAACAAAACCTGCAAGAGATGAATGATCACTTCAAGAGACCAAACCTAAGAGTAATTGGGCTTCCTAAGGCAGAGAGAGAAACAGAAGCCAAACTGGAACAAACATTTCATGAAATCATTCAAGAAAACTTCCCTCATCTCATCAAGGATGAAAAAATTCAAACACAAGAGATTCAGAGAACCCCTGCAAGACAACAAATGAGAAGACCAACTCCCAGACACATAATAATTCGCCTAAACAAAGTAGCTATAAAAGCAAAAATCCTAAAGGCAGCAAGAGAAAAAGGCCAGACTACCTACCAGGGAAAACCAATTAGAATAGCAGCAGATTTATCCACAGAAACCCTTCAGGCCAGGAGAGCCTGGAGCCCTATCTTCAAAGTTCTAAAAGAGAAACAATTTCAGACAAGAATAACCTACCCAGCCAAACTAAAAAATACTGAACACAGAAGAAAAAGAAAAAAGAACAACAGCATTCTTCACAAGAGTACAGGCAAAAGATTAAAAACACACATGAACCAACTCCAAAACCCAAAGAAAGACAACAAATAAACAGGAACAACTCTGTAAGAACCTTATGACAGGGATCAACTCTTGCATTTCAATTATTAGCCTAAATGTGAATGGACTAAATGCGCCACTGAAAAGACATAGAATGACAAAATGGATAAAATATCATCAGGCAACAATCTATTGCCTTCCAGAGACTCACCTCACTAGAAAGGACACCCACAAACTCAAAGTAAGAGAATGGGAAACAAACTTTCAGGCGAACAGAATACAAAAGAAAGGAGGAGTGGCGATCTTAATTTCAAACAAAATACCCTTCAAGCTATTAAAAATCAAAAAAGATACAGAAGGCCACTACATAATGATAAAAGGCTCAATCCATCAACAAGAAATATCTATCCTAAACATATATGCACCCAACATAGGTGCGCCAACTTTCATAAAGCAACTTCTTGGAAAACTAAAGAAAGATATTGACTCTAACACTATCATAACTGGGGACTTTAATACCCCACTCACAAACCTAGACAGATCATCAGGACAAAAAATCAGCAAGGAGATCCGGAACCTCAATGTGACTTTGGACCAAATGGACTTGATACCTACAGAACACTCCATCCAAAGACCACAGAATACACATTCTACTCATCACCACATGGAACATATTCTAAGATCGACCACATACTCGGCCATAAATCACAAGCATAAGTAAATTTAAAAGGACCGAAATTCTACCAAACACCTTCTCAGACCACAGTGGAATAAAAATAAACATTGACACCAACAAAGGCCCCCCAAAACCCACAAAGACATGGACACTAAACAGCATGATGCTAAACAACTCCTGGGTCAACGATGAAATCAAAACAGGGATCAAAAGATACCTGGAAACAAATGAAAATGAAGAAACATCTTACCAAAATCTCTGGGATGCCCTGAAAGCTGTGGTAAGAGGGGAATTTATATCCCTACAAACACACATGAGGAAAAAGGAAGGAACAGAAATTCACAACGTAACAAGCCACCTAAAGAAGCTGGAAAAGCAAGACCACAAAAACCCTAATTTCAGCAGAAGAATCCAGATCACCAAAATAAAAGCCCAAATCCAGGACATAGAAGACAAAAAGATAATACAAAAAATCAGTGAAACAAAAAGCTGGTTCTTCGAAAGGGTAAACAAGATTGATGGTCCCCTAGCTAGACTGACCAAGAAACGAGAAAAAAACCAAATAAGCATAATCAGAAACACAAAAGATGAAGTCACATCTGACCCTGAAGAAATACAAAAGATCATTAGAGACTACTACATACACTTGTATGGAAACAAACTTGAAAACCATAAGGAAATGGAGGACTTTCTGAGATCACACAACCTACCTAGGTTGGAACAAGAAGAAATTGAGACCCTAAGTAGACCAATAACAATCAAGAAAATCGAGTACAAAATAAGAAAACTTCCTACAAAAAAAAGCCCTGGTCCAGATGGCTTTCCAGCAGAATTCTACAAGACATTCAAGGAGGAGCTGACACCAATCCTACTGAAGGTATTCCAGGTGATTGAAAAAGATGGAACTCTCCCCAAATCATTTTACGAAGCCAACATCATCACATTGATACCCAAGCCAGGTAAAGATCCAACAAAGAAAGAGAACTACAGGCCAATATCTTTGATGAACATAGATGCTAAAATTCTCAACAAGATCCTAGCAAACTGGATTCAGCAATACATCTCAAAAATCATCCACCATGACCAAGTAGGCTTCATTCCTGGCATGCAAGGCTGGTTCAACATTCGTAAAACCATAAATGTAATTAAATACATCAACAGATGTCAAAACAAAAACCACATGATCATATCATTAGATGCAGAAAAAGCTTTTGATAAAATCCAGCACCCCTTCTTGATAAAAACCCTCAAACATCTAGGCATACGGAGAACATACCTCAAAATAGTAAAAGCCATCTACAAGAAACCCACAGCCAGCATACTCCTAAATGGACAAAAATTGGAACCAATTCCCCTGAAAACTGGAACTAGACAAGGATGCCCGCTCTCTCCCCTCCTGTTCAACATAGTATTGGAAGTACTGGCTAGAGAAATCAGAGAAGTTGAGGCAATCAGAGGTATTCAAACAGGGAAAGAGGAAGTCAAGTTATCTCTCTATGCAGATGATATGATGGTGTACCTTGAAAACCCAAGAGAATCTGTCAAAGACCTCCTTACATTGATAAAAACCTTTGGCAAAGTCTCAGGATACAAAATAAATGTACAAAAGACAATCGCATTTCTCTACACCAATAATAAACAAACAGAAACCCAAATAAAAAACACAATTCCATTCACAATAGCCACAAAAAAAAGAAATACCTTGGCATCTTCCTAACCAGAGATGTGAAAGACCTTTACAATGAAAATTACAAAACACTGCTCAAAGAAATCAAAGCTGACACGAACAACTGGAAAAATATCCCATGCTCATGGATTGGAAGAATCAACATTGTGAAGATGTCCATCTTACCTAAGGCAATCTACAAATTCAATGCAATACCCATTAAATTACCAACAACATTCTTCTCAGACCTAGAAAAAACAACACAGGAATTCATATGGAAACACAAACGTCCAAGAATAGCCAGAACAATCCTCAGTAAAAAAAACAAAGCAGGTGGTATCACAATACCAGACTTCAAACTTTACTATAAAGCTACAATCATCAAAACAGCTTGGTATTGGTACAGGAACAGGCATATAGATCAATGGAACAGAATTGAGATTCCAGAAGCAAAACCTCAATTCCTCAACCAACTCATCTTCGACAAAGCCCCCACCACATACCAATGGGGAGAGGAGAACCTATTCAGTAAATGGTGCTGGGAAAACTGGTTGACCACATGCAGAAGATTGAAACAGGACCCTTATCTATCCCCATGCACAAAAGTTAACTCCAAATGGATCAGAGACCTAAATGTAAAACCTCAAACCATAAGAACCTTAGAAAAGGAAGGAAATACTCTCATGGAAATCGGAACTGGCATCCAATTCCTGAACAAAACCCAAAACTCACAGGTTATAAGAGAGAAGATAGACAAGTGGGACCTTATTAAACTGACAAGCTTCTGCAAAGCCAAAGAAACCATCAAGAGAGCAGGGAGACAGCCTACAGACTGGGAAAAAGTATTTGCCAACTCTAGGTCTGACAAAGGCTTAACATCCTGAATCTACAAGGAA